ATTAAATAGATAGATATAAGAATAAATTATATTAATATAATTAATATATTATAAAAAAAGATATCTCCATGTTTACTCCATATCATTAAAATTATCAATATAAAAAAATTTAATTTTAAATAAGAATTACAAGTATTGAAATTATAATTGATATAATTAATATAAATATAAATATACTAATATAATTAATATATTTAAATAAAAAATCATATATACATAATATTCGGGACGAGACGGGACGTCTGGATGGTAATTTCGTGTCCTGTCCCACCTTGAACTCCTTTCTTGTCCCATTTCGTAAAGTTTCATTCTGATTATTTTCGAGTCGGGATAAGACATCGGAACAGGTCCAAAGTAAACACTCCTAATATAGATGATAGGTATGCGAACCTCCCATAGAATTACACTATTTTTATCCCTATCTCCCTCAGCATATGATTGCAACGCATGAATTATGAGTACATGAATATAAATATTCTCTTAAAAAAGTTCAAAAAAAATAGCTTCTAATAACTTGAAGTTATAAGTAAAGTCCAACATGTAACTTTATATTTACATAAATACTTTACATGCATGAATTTGTTGTCTTCTTTACCATATCTTAGGATTTAAAACCATCTCTCTCCTGCAAGAGGATGGAACTTTAGCCTACTGAATCATCACCTTTCTCTTAAGGTGGTAAGATTCATTGTACTTGTTCAACCACCCAATCCCTAAGGGGATGATGTTGGTATTGTTTAGAGATCTTCCTCTAATTAAAGTTTTACCGTTAAATTTGCTTTTAAAGTTATGGCTTCTTAAAAGGGTCAAAACAATTCTAACATTTGGTCAAGAATTTGGAAGTGGCTCACTTACAAAAAATTCTGACATTAGATCCTTTATCAAACAAAAACCAAGATATTAGCCAATTATCAAATCTTGTAACATTCCATTTATCAACCCTCAAAGACAAAAGAGAGCCAAACCAAACTTGCTTCACCCAAGGGCACAAAAATAATAGATGATCAACAATCTCAACATGATCAATGCACAATGAGCATGCAAGACTACTTGCACATTTCCTCTTAAAAAAAGCCTCTTTAGTAGCTAAACCTCTATTAGCTACCTTCTATAAGAAGTGAGCAACTTTATAAGGCAACTTAATACCTTAAATAGCTTCCCATAATTTACCAAAAGGCTTACATGAGTTACTCAAATCCTTAATCAGTCTAGAATTCAAGTTCTCCAATGCCACCCTGTACTTACATTTGACAGAATAATCCCTATCCCTACCACCCAGCCAAATATATTTGTCATCCCCACCTAAAATTAGGATCGAACATTTTAAATCAACTCTTGCTCTTCCATACTTTACCAACTCGAATCCTAGAGAGATCCCAAGAACCATTACTTATAAATTCACTAACCTTCATCTCCTTCACATCATCGTGCGGATCTCTCTAACTCGATCTAAAGCCTTTAGCAGCAGGAAGCCACTTGTTGCCAAACATCTTAACTTGTGATCCACTGAAAATTTTCTAACACAACTTATGAGCCAATAAATTTCTTCCTTCCAAAATACTTGACCAACCCAAAGACGCCGTACGATCCTTCTTAGCATTCATAAACTATGTTTTTGGAAAAATAAATCCCTTTCAAAATTTAGCACCAATACTTATAGGGATTTTGAAATAACCTTCAAACCATTTTGTTTTTGCCAAAGTTTTTGCCAAAAGAGCTATATTAAAGGTTTCAAAATCCTTAAAACCAACTCACCCTTTAGCTTTAGGCTAACACAACATACTCCAAGCCTTCCAATGAATTCTCCCTTCCCCACTTTTCTCCCTTTCTCCCTTTCTAGCCTTACCAAAACTTACAAAGAAAGCAATCTCTCCAATTCATTACATACCTTTTTAAGAAACTTAAAACAAGTCATAGAAAAACTGGAATTGCATTGGCCATAGCCTTCACCATCACCTCTCTCCTTGCAAAAGATAACAATCTCCTCTTTCATCCTTGTAACTTCAAACTCATTTTACACTTCATAAGGGCCAATGCTTCAGATTTAAATCTACCCCAAATCATAGGTAAACCTAAATATTTCCGTGAGTCATCAGTTGCCTTAATTCCCAAAGCATCATAAACAACAAAATTCAACTCATTAGTCACATTATTAGAAAAGAAAAGATAGGATTTTTAAAAATTAAGAGCTTGTCCTGAAGCATAACAATAAGCATCCAGAATTTGTTTTAAAATACTATAATTCTTCTCAGAGGCATTTAAGAAAAATAATGCGTCATTTACAAATAAACAATGCGACAAAGTTGGACAATTCTGAGCCAATTTAATACCTCCATGTTTGTCACAGTTAACATGTCATTGAATCATCATTGAAAGAACATTCACAGCAATAATGAAGAGATAAAGAGATAAATGATCTCTTTGCCTTACACTTCTCTTCATATCAATGTCTACAATTCTCTTTCTAACTACTAATAGATTAAGACTAACAGATCTCACACACTTTATCACCCACCTTATCACCTTATCCACTTATCACCAACCCCATCTTACACATCACATTTTCAATAAAATTCCACTCTAATCTATCATAAGTTTTATGCAGATCAATTATCATCACCATTTCCACTCTATTTCCCTTCTTTTTGTTCTTTAAATAGTTGAAAGCTTCATGAGCAATAATCGAGTTATCTTAAATCAATCTACTACAAACAAATGCCCTTTGATTATGAGTAACAATTCTGGCCAACACCCCCTCAATCTGTTAGGCAAAACCTTGAATATAATTTTGTTACCAAAATTACACAGCCCTATTGGCCTACATATAATTTTTTAAAGATTTTTTTTACCAACAAATATAATTTTTTAAAGTTATATTGAAAAGGAAAACGTTAGTCATAGTCAACTCCTAAAATGCATCATGGTCAAGAAAAGAACGTTCTGGGACATATGGGTGTGGACCACTATTTTGAAAACCGGACCGGACTGGCCGGTCGGACCGGTCGGACCGTCGACCGGTCTGGTTCAAAGGAAAAAACCGTTTTCAGAGTTGAGCCGGGTTGAGCCGTTTCGAACCGGCGGTCGGACCGGGAACCGGCAGTCGGACCGGGAACCGGATCCGGTTTTCAAAAACCGACTGTTCAAAATTTTTTTTTATTTTTTATCAAATTTTTTTAAAAAATGACTAATTTTTTTAATCATTTGATATTATAGTGTATCATATAGCTTGTTAAGTCGTGATAAACTTAAAATATTTAATTTTTTTAAGTTAAATAGCAATTTCATATGTATTTCTTATATTTAAATTATTATATACATATATAATTTTTTTTAATTTAATTATTACGTATTGGTCCAACCGGTTAAACCATACGAACCGTGAACCGCTGACTTTTTCGATTCAATGTCCGGTCCGGTTCTGAAAACACTGGTGTGGACTTTTGAACTCCGCTCCTATTCTCCTAATGCCACCGTCCCACCGTCCCAAATACAATTGACCCATTTGTTGAATATTATAATATGCTTTTAATTGAATTATATTTTTAATAAATTAAATAAATATTTTTAAAATAATTTAAAAATATTCTTATCTCTAAACTATTTGTTTAATTTATATAAAAAAACCTAATCAGTCAGGAGGAGTAATAATGTCTAAAACTTACATAATGTGCAAGTTTTTTCCTTTAAATGACGTATTTAACATCATGCCATTAAAAAAATTAATTTTAATTGTTAGTTTATCAATAAAATTACAAAAAATTGTCTCAAAGATTATAAAAACAAACACATAAAATTACAAATAAATATCTTATTAGAAAATCAATATGGGTTATATTTTTAAAATAATATGATAATTTATAAGTCTTGAATTTATAACTTTTGAAAAAAGATTTATAAATTATCAGCCTATTTTAAAAAATTAATTAATATTAATTTTAATAAAGTACTTATGTATACTTTTGAGTCACTTTCTATCATTTTTTAATGTCCTTTTATATAATTTTTAAATTAATTAAAAGTTAAAGTTAATTTTTTTAATGATAAAGTGTTCAATGTACTGTTTTTAAATATTAAAAAAAAATTATATTAAATACAAGTTTAGAATATTAAATATTTTTGAGTAAACAATTGAGGGATAAAAATATTATTTAATTTTTTTAAATATAATTCTTTTTAAAAAATTGCCTTGTAACATTAGGTAAGTAAATATATTTGCAAGTTTTTGTTTTAAAAAAAAAAAACTTTTGCAAGTTCTTTTAAAAAGTGTAGGATTTATACAATTTTTTTTTAATTATTTTTAAAAGTGTTGGACTTATGTATTTTTTTATTATTATTTCTTTTCCCTCCATTGCACCGTCCCTAACATTTAATTTATTAGATTGCCACCACCCACCGACGGAAGAGCAGACTTGAGAAAGAATAACGATGTAATAATGGACCCGTCTCTCCCTTTCGTCAAAGCTTCAATCAGCCATCGCTGAGAAAAGAAGACGAAGGGTAACTAATAGCCATTTGGATTGGATTACAAAACAGGAAAATTATATTGTATCATAGCTCATAATTTATATATCTGCTACTTGATCTTCCATAACCACCATTACTGATCTCCTATTCTTCTTCAATGGCGCTGATGAGCTCCAGTACTGTTGGTGGTTCTTGCTCCACCGTGGCGGCTCGATTGAACTATCACGTTTTCTTGAGCTTCAGAGGAGAAGACACTCGCAGAAACTTCACCGACCACCTGTACGCTGCGTTGCAGCGAAAAGGGATTGTCACTTTCAGGGACGACCAAGCGCTTGAGGGATCAGGACAGGTTATTTCGGAGAATCTCATGAAAGCTATTGAGGAATCTCTGTTTGCCATTGTCGTTCTGTCCCAAGACTATGCATTCTCGTCTTGGTGTTTGGATGAACTGCACAAGATTGTTGAATCCAAAGAAAACTTGACAGTTTTCCCGGTTTTTTATGGCGTAGATCCGTCTGATGTGCGACACCAAAAGGGAATTATTAGGAAAGCTTTTGAGAAACATGAAGGGAAATTTCCACTTTGTAAGGTGAGAAGATGGAGAAGAGCTTTAACACAAGTTGCAAACTTCGCTGGTTGGGATGCTAGAAACAAGTAAGTTTTTAAATTCCACTGCAATTTTTTTTTTATGTTTTTTATATAGCTATATTATTGGCCATATTCGAGTATTGTTAGAACCAGATAACTCTCCAGGAGGATTTTCTATATTTATTCAGACTCAAACCCGATATATTGTTTTATCGTAAAAACACGATATATTGTGTTTAAGCATACCAATGAAATTTAGGAACGGTAAAAATTCTTGACGTTTCAGATAACATTGAAATTCTTTGGCCATATACTGTCATGTTGTTTGGGTATTAAACATCCTAACTCATTCTTTAGAAGGCTGTGGGAGCCACGATAGGAAAGAAAACTTCCTTTGTTTTCTCCTCTTAGATACCTTTTCACAGCTAATGGCAGTCATATTTTATATATGCTCACCAATCCTCTATATTAACTAATTGTGATTTTCATAATCGACTATTATTTCTAACTTGGTCCACGGAAATATGTAGGCATGAAGCAGGAATCGTAAAAAATATTGCTGAAACAATATGGACCAAATTGCGTGTTAAATTGCCTTCAAATTTTGCTCATTTAGTTGGACTTCAATCAAAGGTAGACACAATGGTCTCTCTTTTGAAGATAGGGCTGAATCATAAATGTTTTGTAGGAATATGGGGTATGGGCGGAATAGGCAAAACGACTCTTTCTAGAGTTGTTTATGAAACAATCCGAGACAAATTTGAAATTAGTTGCTTTCTTGCCAATGTAAGGGAGGATTCAGAACGTAATGGTCTGGTTTACTTGCAAAAGAAGTTTCTCTCTGGTCTTCAATTAGAAAACATTAAAATCAGTGACTCCCATGATGGAGTTGAGGCAATAAGAAGCTTTTCACGTGATAAAAAAGTTCTTATTGTTCTTGATGATGTAAGTCATATAAGCCAACTACAGAATTTAGTTGGAGATAAAGATTGGTTTGGTGCTGGAAGCAGAATAATAGTAACTACGAGAGATATACACTTGTTGATAGCACATGATCAGTTTGAGAAGTATGAAATGAAGATGTTAGGAAGAGGTGAATCCCTCAATCTCTTGTGTAAGCATGCCTTCAAAATGGATTATCCTCAACAAGGTTATTGGGAATTGTCCAAAACGGTGGTTGATTATGCAGGTGGTCTTCCTTTAGCACTCCAAGTGTTAGGCTCGTTTCTTTGTAAAAGAAGTCAATCTGAATGGAGAGACACATTGGATAAGTTAAAGCAAAATTTACATAAAGATATTTTCAAGACACTTCGCATAAGTTATGATGGGCTAGATGATAAAGAGTTGAAAACAATATTCTTAGACATCGCATGCTTCTTTAATTGGGAGAAAAAAGTTGAAGTGATTAAAATATTTGAAAATTGTGGTCTTCATCCAACAATTGGAATCCAAGTTCTAATTGAAAAATCATTGTTGAGTACTTGCATTTCATTGGGTGGCCAAGAACATGTATACATGCATGATTTTCTTCAAGAGATGGGAAAAAACATTGTTTTGCAAGAATCTCTGAGTGATGCTGGCAGACGCAGTAGGTTGTGGTCTTGGGAGCAGATTGATCAAGTCTTTAGGGGGATACAGTAAGTGCCTGGTTTTTATGTGGGCTAAAACTTATAATTAACTAGTTAATACATTATTTCCAAATGTATACTTCAATTTAAGCTTGACTTATAATAACCTCTCCCCATGTTTAATTACCAGGGAAGCAAAAGTGTTCAAAGTATAGTTTTGAACCTAAAGCAACAATTTGAAGCAAATTGGCACCCAAATTGCTTCTCAAAGATGAGTAATCTTAGATTATTCTGCTTAAGTAATGTTCATCTTTTGCATTGTCTCGATTCTCTTCCTACTACACTAAAAGTTCTCAAATGGGAGAAATATCCTGTGGAAACTCTACCACGCAATATTGACCAACTATATCAACTTGTGGACCTTACCTTACATCGTAGTAGAATCAAGAAACTTTGGAATGGAAGACCGGTAATTTCCATTCCACACCTTTTTATATGATTAAAGATCAGTTACTTTAATTTACCACTAAATTTGGATGAAGCTGATATATTCTCTTTTTGTTGATCTATGATCAGTTTTTAGGAATGTTGAAGTTCATGGACTTGAGTTTTTCCAAGGAGCTAACTGAAACTCCAGATTTCAAAGGAGTTCCAAACCTTGAAAGATTGTTTCTTGAACACTGCATAAACCTAGTTAAGGTTCATGGGTCTCTCGGGAAGCTCAAGAACCTCGTTAAGTTGAGTTTGAGAGGTTGCCAAAATCTTGTGATCCTTCCCAGGAAATTGGAATTAAATTCTCTGGCGGAGTTTTCTCTCTATGGTTGCTCAAAGCTTGAAAAGCTTCCTGAATTTGGAGAAAACATGAATTGTCTCTCCATCTTTGATCTGAGTGGAACTAACATAAGAAAAGTTCCCTCTTCCATTGTTCATTTGACAAATCTTAAGGAGCTATATCTCCATGGATGCAACTGGCAAGCTTGGAATTCATGGAGTTTTTTTGGCTACTTTGGTCATTTGATAGGTCGGTTTCTGGGGAATCCAGTATCCAAGGGATTGAAGCTTCCCAATTCTTTCTCGGGCCTTTCTTCATTAAGAAAACTGGATTTGAGTTTTAGCAATCTGTACGATGGAGCAATCCCTAATGACTTAAGCGGCTTATCATCATTGATGGATTTTAATCTGAGGGGAAACAATTTTACTTCCTTACCTGTTGGCTGCATCTCCAATCTTGTTAACCTTGAGCAATTTGACTTGAGTAATTGTGTTCAGCTTCAGTCATTCCCTCAGCTTCCACCTAATTTAATTAGAGTATATGCTGGTTGCTGCCCTTCTATTGAACCCTTATTGGACATGCAACATCTCTTGGAATCACTACTTATCTATAAGGTTTGTCACCATCTCTCTATCCTTATATATGCATCTATAATATCAGATTTAAATCTCATTCAGTGATGGAGGGACAGTGAAGAAGTATGAAACGGAGAGAAGTGTGAGGCATATCCATCTGGACAAGTTATATCTTCTCTCTCATTTTCTTCATTTTGAATATGACTTCTTTGAAGTATTTTAGAAGAATAAAGTTAGAGAAAGATAGGAGCGTGATGAATCCCATGTTGAGTGTGTCAGGACCATAAGAGCAGGGCCCAAACCTCTCTTTTCTTTCTCACTCTAACTTTACCATAAGGTATTTCAAAGCGGTTCGGACAATCCCTAATCTAATGATTTTATCCCGCGCAGAGGCATACAAAGTATTTTTACTTTGTATGCGTATGGATTCAACTAGACTAAAAGATTGGGAGAGAAAACTAACCTGACCTCTTCAAAAAGGATTCTCTTAACTTCAATTCATTTTTCACCATAAGTTACTTGTATGTCTCCTTGTTTGTCTTGAATTAATCATCAATATATTTAATGTTTAACTAAACTTTTCCTTTTTTGTAGACATGTAGTCTTCTCCTACATGGAGTCATTTTTCTGCATATTTCAGGAGATAAGATCCCAATTACAGTGTTTAAAGAGCAACAATGTCACATTGATCCATTTGGAGCAAGTGTATCTATAATAGTAGATAACCCTAATTTTTCCTACGAGAGTGAATTGTGGGGAATTGCTGTGTGCCTGGTGGTAAAAAGCAAGAAGGCTTTATATTACTGCTCAAGATCCAAATTTTATTGGAGATTCAGAGCTCTTGAAGAAGATAAAAGCTTGGAGGAACCACATCATGTATTTTATGTGGGAAAAGCATATTCAATCCCTCATCTTTACATAGCATTTTTTCCTTTGATCAATACTCACAAGTTTTGGCGACATTGCCGCCAACTTGAATTGCAAATTGAGGTTGAAAAAGAGTTTAGCATCAACGATTGTGGTTGGCGTCTTATGTGCAAGAAAGATTTTTGATGTGTGCCATACTAGTACTATCTTCTAATCCAAAAGCTTCACAATAACAACTCACAATCAATAATGCTGCCATGAACTTGAGGGTAAGGATTCATTTTCCATATTGAATTTGTTGTTACCGTTCATTTATATCTTTATTTGCTATTTGAAATTAACTATTTGGTCCAAATCATTCTATATTGTTGAATTGATATGGCTTGATGATTTCTTTTTCAGATTTAGGGCAAGAGTAGTGGATTTCATAATCCTTTGAAGAGTGCTATGCAAACTATACTCACTTCAATTTTCTTTCTTTCTTTTTCCTTTTGAATGAGAAGTAGGGGTTTAATTTAGGTTAAAGTGTTTTAGTGTTAATATTGATTATGAGACGTCAATTTTTTTCCCCCGGCCTGGAGACGTCAATATTTCAAACTTTATTTTATATGGGGTTTGATGGATGTTTTCTTTGGTAAAGTGATGTATTACAATGGATAACTATTGAACAACTTTAATTGAACAAGGGCTGAACACTTGTCCTATTGACGTAAGGCCGATGTGAAAAGGCCCAACAATCATTTTTGCCTAACATTATACCAATGAGGCTTGGAAGAGGCCCATCAAGGTTTTAACTTCTTTCCAAAAATATGGCTAAATATTTCCCAAAAATATTGTTCTAAAGTTTATGGACTGAAAAGTATGTTTTCCCCAATTAATCTTAATGAGGGACATATTTAAAAAGGAAATTATTAATTAGACACTTTAACAAAAAGCAATAACAAATACAAAGACAAAGCACTTAACCCATAATTAGATTTTATACCCGAGGCACAGGAACATTAATTTACGTTGTTTAAGAAAAATAGAAGAGAAGGATAAAAGTTGAATTTTATTAATTTTTAAAAGACAAGAGAAAATAACTATAGTTTTCAAATTCTTTAATAACTTCTATTAATTATATTTTTTATTCCTAGTATAATATTAGAATTTTTTTAGCTATTAGAATATATAAAAATAAATAATAATTTATATATTTTCACAAAATTTATTTTAGAATATTCATAAAATATTAATAATATTTTATTTTAAAAATATAAGGTATTTTTAATTGAATCTTGTTCTCAATAAAATAGTCAATTATATAATACCATTTTTTTTTCATATTTATCCTTGTTGAAAATAAATATAGTTAGTTAGTTAGTTTGTTTGTTGAGCACACCTGACCGTGTATTTGGTCTCTATTATGGTGTTTTGGTGTATATATAATCATAGTGAAAATATTGTTTTAATCAATGAAAAAGTCACGAATTTCTTTGGCTTAACATTCATTCATACATAATCTGTACAGGTGCACAGATTATGACTTTCATCATGGTATCATAGAGCCAGGTCATTCTTTGGGCCAGAAAAAAGCCATCTGTAACAACTGAAGCTCAAGAAATGGGCCGAAAAATGCAAGAATGCAGACCCACAAAGAAGCTTCTCCAACAGACGGTATTCTATCGCCCAAGAACCTATGTCCAGTTCAAGAAATGGACCGAAAAAACAAGAATATGGATCCATCGATATGCTGACCCGACGCACTGCACAAAATGGGTGAAAGCTATGCGTTTTGAGCTCTTGAGGAAACGATCTACCCGATCCTTGGTCCTTCTCATTTACCCTAAGTTCTACAACTTTCATCACCTTTCCAGATATTTCGTCCTCTTCCTCTCGAAATTCTTTTTCTCACAGATCACAGAGATATTCGATATGCCCGGGGATGAAAGAAACACTGTTGCTCCTATCGATTTCACTCATGAGCTGTATCTTCATCCTTCCGATACTCAAGCATCAGCCCTCGTGCCTCATGTTCTTGCTGGTCCTGAAAACTACACCATATGAAGTCGATCGATGCGGATTGCGTTGCTTGGAAAACACAAACTTAGGTTTGTTGATGGATCTTGTAAGAAGGAAGCTCAAGATCCGTCTCTTTATGCTTAGTGGGAACGGTGTGTAATGCCGTCGTGCTTTCCTGGTTACTGAGCTCTGTTTCGAAGGAATTAGCCAATAGAATGGCATATGCTCATAGTGCGTCTCTCGTCTGGGCAGATCTCAAGGAAAGGTTTGATAAGGTTACTGGATCTAGCATATTTGCTATACACCGTGAGATTAACTCTCACGTTCAGGGATCTCTCACGGTGTCAAGCTATTACACAAGGCTGAAAGAGCTTTGGGAAGAACAATCCTTCCTGATCGCAGTGCCAACATGTAAGTGTGAGACTTCAAAAGTTTATTTCGATCTAATGCAACAGCAACGTCTTCTGCAATTTTTGAAGGGACTCAGTGAATCCTATAGTCAAGCAAGGAGTCAGATACTCTTGATGACTCCCCTTCCATCTGTCAACCAAGCCTACAACATGATTATGGAAGATGAGGCTCAGAAACTCATCGCGGGGTCAAATAAGTCTTCACCTATAGAAGGAGCTACTATGGCTGTGGGTAGAGGGCAAGGCCGAGGTAGAGGACGTGGACGTGGCAACTCTTCACTCGAATGTGCTCACTGTCACAAACGTGGGCACGTTAAAGAAAATTGCTATGAAATCATTGGCTATCCAGTTGACTTCAAAGGTAAAAATAAGAATAAGCGGTCTCAAGAGATTAAATCTAATCAAGGAAAAGGTGAGGCTGCTAATGGAGTAGATGAAGGGCAAACTGTGCACCAACCTTTATTCAAGAACAGTATGAACAAATATTGCAACTGTTGAGGAAGGATTCTGAGCCAACCATCCATGCACTCACTGGTACAGGTTTGGTAATTCTTCTTCTTTTAAAACTAGGACTAGTTGGATACTTGATTCTGGTGCTACCACACATATGGTTAGTGGTTTGCGTTTTTTTCATTCATATGAGAAGTATACTGGTCCTATCAAGAACATTAAAATTCCTAATGGGCAGCGAGCCTTAGTAACGCACATAGGGAATGTTTGTCTATCTGGAGGCATAACTCTAAGAGATGTGTTATATGCACCTGAACTTTTCTTTAATCTGATATTTGTTCCTAGGCTAACTAAAGAAGAACATTGCATGGTTGCCTTTTATCCTGACCTCTATTTAGTACAGGACCTTCAGGGTGGCAGGATGAAAGCGACTAGTAAAATTGTGTAAAGCCTTTACATTCTGATTGATAATGATCATGCCGTAAATGCTGCTAAAAATTTTGATGTAATAAAGGAATCAAGTGAACTTTAGCTGTGGCACTGTAGACTAGGTCACCTTTCTTTTCCTGTAATGAGGCATTTGCCTTCACTCAAAAAGGGTGTTCATTTGAATATAGAAAACAAGACTTGTGAGACTTGTATTCAATCTAAACAAACTAAAATGCCTTTCCCTGTTAGCTCTATAAAGTCCACTTTCTGTTTTGAATTGTTACATATGGACGTGTGGGGACCTTATAAGGTACCCACGCACTAAGGCCATCAATATTTCTTAACTATTGTTGATGATTTTTCTAGAGCTCCTTGGATATTTTTATTACAGCACAGGTCTGAAACTGTGACCAATATTAAGAGTTTCATTGCATATGTTCAGAATCGATTTGATGTATGCATTAAAAGGATTAGAATTGATAATGGTACAGAATTTTTAAATAATGAACTAAGAAGTATTCTTAGGGAAAAAAGAATTATACATGAAGCCACATGTCCTTATACACCTCAACAAAATAGGGTAGTTGAGCATAAACATAGGAGTTTGGTTCAGGTCTCTAGGTGTCTTTTTGTTCAATCTGGTCTGCCTATTCAATATTGGGGGGATTGTATAAAAATGGTAGCCTACTTAATAAATAGAACGCCTTCTAGAGTCCTACAATTTAAGACGCCTTACGAGATCATTTATGGAAAACTGCCTGATTACAATAATTTGAGAATATTTGGTTCCCTGGCTTTTGCTACAGATTTAATACCTCGGATAAATTCCAATCTAGATCCATTCCTTGTGTTTTCCTAGGTTACCCTATTAATCAAAAGGGTTTTATGTTGCTTGATCTGAAAACTAACAGAATGTTTGTTAGCAGACATGTGAGATTTATTGAACATAAATTTCCTTATAAAGATTATGCTGTGAGAAAACCAGATTAGCAATATAAAACCTTTGATAATATTTTTTGGCATGAACCTGAACAAATGAGGGTGAAAGATGACTCTAATAATACTGAACTTATTAGGAATGATTTACCTAATATGAATGACCAAGGGGAGCCGCCATGAATTAGAGATTGATGACATAATTGAGGCTGATAATCAAGAAGAACAACATAGAATCAGACCTGTTCGAGATAAGAAACCTCCAGTTTGGTTTAAAAATTATGTTTGTTCTATTGTGACATGTATAATGTCAAGTACCCCATGCAACAGCAAGTTCCTATGAATCTATTTCTACATCTCATAAATGCTTTTTATCTTCTATTGATTCTGATATAGAGCCGAAAACGTATGAAGAGCGGCTGTGAAACATAATAAATGGGGTGAGGCTATGCATGTAGAACTCAAAGCATTAGAGATAATAACACTTGGAAAATAGTTGACTTACAAAGGGAAAGAAGCCTATTGGTTGTAAATGGGTGTATAAAATTAAATATAAATCTAATGGCAGTGTTGAGTGGTACAGGGCTAGGTTAGTGGCAAAGGGTTACTATCAAAGGGAAGGAGTGGACTATCAAGAAACATTTTCCCCTGTTATTAAGATGGTTACTGTTAGATCTGTTCTATTTAGCTGCCTAACAAAATTAGAGTTTGCATCAGATAGATGTCTACAATGCATTTTTGCAGGGAGACTTAAATGAGGAAGTGTATATGATGATACCTCAGGGTCTTCTGGGAAGGGGGAGAGTAAAGTCAAAGTTTGTAAACTAAATAAGTCTTGTATGGCTTAAAGCAAAGCCTCACGACAGTGAAATTATAAACTGACCTTAGCCTTAAAAGAGGAGGGTTTTAGTCAAAGCATGCATGATTACTCATTATTTGTTAAGAAACTTCATGATGGTGTGGTTTTTTGTCCTTGCTTATGTGGATGATCTAGTGATCACGAGAGCTTAGAAAATGGAATTACACAAACCAAGAATTTTTTGCATAACAATTTAAAATTAAAGATCTTGGCTTTAATATATTTTCTGGGAATTGAAGTGGCAAGATCCTATAAGGGCATTGTCATGAATCAAAGAAAGTATGTGTTGGATTTGTTGTTTGAAACAGGGATGAGTGGCTGCAAGCCATTGTCGGTTCTTATGGCACAGAATATGAGGTTAACAGCATATGAGGAAGGAAGGAACAAGAAAGAGGAACTATTAAAGGACCTAGGAGAATATAGAAGACTTATTGGTAAGTTAATCTATTTGACAATGACACGTCTTGACATTTCTTTTTCTGTGCAGCACTTGAGTCAATTTATGCAAGCCCCTATGAAAATA